TCGCGGCTGCCGGGGGGCTCCCGCCGGAGCCGGGGAATCGTCCGTCTGCTCGCCCCGGCCGCGGGAGGAGCCCGCGGGGACGCTGCTCGCTCCCAGTTAAGCGTGGGGCTGGAGGAACCTCGTCCCGGATTTCGGCCGCTCAGACTTCTTCCTCCTAGCGCCGTTATCTGTGTGTTTCCGACTTACTGATATCGTCCACAGCCAGACCTTCGGAGAGGTCCTGCCAATGCAGGCACCCGGCAGTATGGACGTGCTGATTATCAAGCCTAATTGATCATCTCCCAGAAGACTGAGCATACTGACTGACCTGCGTCTCTCTCTCTTGCACACTGTGACAAGCAAAAGTGTAAGCAAGCACCACCAAACGCCTCAGGAATCACCCTGAAAATGAAAGAGCTTTGAATACAGGATCTGCACATCATCTGTCAGTACCAGTAGCCAGATTCTTAATTCGGTCCAGGAAGAATACTCGCTCTTAGCTTACACCAGGCATGTAACTCCATTCCTTTTGATACGGGAGCCAAGAGCAAGGCATACTATTTAAATATGTTGCCACAAAGATTTCAAACTTCTCTTTACTGTTTTAACTGCTCAAGTACATTTCAAATCTTTATGGTGTGTCCATGAGTTAAGTTCCTGTATCAAAAAGAGTGTATTTCCAAGAGGTTTCGTCATCAGGCCACGCAGACATTGTAATTACTACAGTCTCTTCATGGACCACTGGCGTTTTGGATTGTTCTTGCAAAGAAACCTTGGTTCAACCCTTGCAGGCCAACAGCAGCTTACAGCCCCCCCAGGCTAGCACTTGGCAGCGAGAGTTTGTGATATGAATGCTGCTGTTACAGCTGCAGTAGAAAGAGAACAGACCTCACTGCCTCAGCACTCACAAGGAGCTGTGGTCCAGTGGCTTTCAAGTGGGTGCCCTGAGAAAGCCTTCTTTTGATTTAAACCGGGATTGTTTTGGTTTATCTTAAATAAGTTTAAATGTTTTAGACAAAACTGAAAGTTATGTTCACACTGACTTTTGAACTGGTTTGGCTAGATTTGGTTTCAGTTAGCCCAAAGTATCCTTCTAGTGTCAAGGAGATCAGAGTTTAAAATAACACATTTCCTGTCCCTATGTAAGCAGTTTTCTCTGTTGTACTGTAATTTACAGCATGTATTACGGCATGCAGAGATTTGTGATGGAAATATTAAGACTGATAAGACTGCAGCATGAATGGAAAAGTCCATGTGTGAAGCAGAAGCAGCAGAAGAAATGATAAGCAAAGGTTAAAGGAATCACATGCATCAACAGCTGAGGAAATGACTGATGGGTTAATGCTGAACAATGCCCTGCTTACATCCTGACGGTGGCACTGATGACTATTCTGCAGAGGACCCAGCGCTGGTAACAGGAGGATGGCCTCAAGGTCGCAGTGCACTGGATGTGGCCTTTCAATACTTCTGTTTTTCCAACCAGAAGACAAACTACAGCCACAAGACACCCAAAAAAAGAAACAGAAGAACATCAGCAGCTTGTGAATCGTCATGGTGTGGACATGCTGCCACATGACGACTGCAGCCTTCCATTGATTATCTCTGCCTGAGGAGCTGTAAACATTTCTAGCATGGAAAATGTCTTCCTAACAGAGGCTGCCTGGTAAATGGAGTTAAGAGGAGTTATCTCCTCTTCCAGCTGTATATGAAATACATACAGTTTACTTCAATTATTTAAAACTGTAAATTCCAGTGTGCAAGTCCAGAAGGAATGTGTGACTGGGGCTGTGCAGTCTGTCAAACCGAGGCTGCTTGCAATCACTCAGAAAAGTCCTTGGTGTCAGGGAGAGGAGAATGTGCAAAAGCACCAGCCACAGAGACAGAGATATCTCAGAGGTGAACAGGAAGAAACCCAGAACACAGGCTGAAACTGCCTAACATCTGTATTTATGATGATAATAATGATTATATAGAAAACAGCACAGAAGAACAATTAAAAAAGGGGGGAGAAATGCCAGTTATCTTAGCCCATAAGCACAGGAAAGCCCCACCCTTGCCACTTGCCCGGGAGCACGGAACTCTGAATTTCCTCCGATACATGGCCTGTGTGTGCTCCTGTGCCGACTGGGAGGCACTCATGGGGCCTGAGCAGCTGCCTGGGTCTTTGGGCTGAGGAGGGAAACCTGCACATGGCTTGGTTTAGCTCTGCAGCCCTCATGCCACCTTCCCTTGCTACCTGTTACCGAGCAACTGATTCCTACAAATCACTTAATCCAAGGCAATTATTTCTCTGGGGAAATACATGCTTAATAATAACAGGGTGGATGAAACTTTCTGCTTAGAGGCATTTCTATTCCTGGTATTTCACCTTCGTCTGTTTGTTTCTTTTCCTTACCCCAGATACTAGCTTTTATCCTGGCTACTGGCAACAACCTCCGTCTTTAATTACTCTACTCCCTGATCCTGAAGGTGAGTCTGTTGCACAAACTACCTTTAATGAGCCCATCGGTGCAAGATGCTCACTGGTCTGCTTACTTGACTTACTGGTAACTTGACTGATACAGCTGCTGGGGGGCCTGAGGACCCCATCAGCTTTAGCACATTGTGGCTTCTGATGGTGTTAATGTCACAACACCGGGAAGTAATTTACACTCCCAGAAATGGAAAGGTTCTAATTTCTTAAAAGGAAACGAAAATCAGCATGATGTTTTACTTGGGATGTTAAGTAAAGAAATCGCTACTTATCAATTAAATACTTGCTGGTAAAGTCTGGATTCCTTTAAATTCAAAGGTGTGGTGTTCTTGCAGCAAAGTAACTCATTAGCAAATGACTGATAATGTCGTTACATCTATTACTGCTCCAGCTATGTATTTATTAAATTATTCTAGGGGGGGATACATAGGGGGGCTTTGCAGCCTGTGAAAATGGGCGGAAGTGGTATTCAAGCTGAGAACAATTGCACAGAAACCATACTATAGCAAGAGGGGCTTTGGGATTAGAGGTGATTGTGTTTTCACTCTTTTCCTGACATAATCAGGACAAATACCAGGCGCAGAGTTGCTGGGAGGGCTGCTAAGGGAGGTCCAGGCTCTTACCAGCACTGCTTGTTGTGGTGTATGAGCCCTGTACCACGGCACAGAAGAACTGCTGTGCCCAGCCCTCTGGTCTTGCTAGGGCTTTGCTCAGCCCTGAAGCATCCCACCAGCAATGTTTAGATAGATTTGCCTTTTGGGACCTGAAATGTAGTCTGCAGAGCATGCTTCGTTTATAACTTATGGAGTGTCCCTTACCTATGTGCTTCTGCTCCTTCTCATCCCTAAAATGTTAACCATCTGGAAGACAGAGAAGAAAATTACGTTTGGCACCAAGCTTATGCACAAACCTAGTATTGTTTGTGTGAATAAGACAGAGTACAAGTCAAAAGATGAATTAAAAGCCCAGTGATCTCAAGACAGCTCACCATAACTTTTGGATCAGACAGAAGCAAAGGTGAAGAATCAGGAATCCTATTAGAGACAGATTTTGTGCCATATTTTGTCTTCTAATTAGTGCTGAAATAAAGGCAAGGAGATTTCCAAATACAGAGGTGTTAGGCAGGGGCTGTTCTTTATTTAGAAAGCTTGAGCTTTCTCAGTGAAAATTAATCCTTTCTGAATCATCCTTTAAAATGCAACTGGTTTTCCCAAGAGAAGAGATTTAGTTGGAGCTTGAGTGCACATACCATCTTCCACAGTATCATAGGCCTCCATGAAGTTCCTGCATGTCAGCAGAGCCAACATGTCTTCAGATCAGTGTGACACATCAGAAGACTGGCACGTAGGAATGATTCCTTGTCAAATGAGCAGGTTATTACAAAATGAAAGTGCATAATTTCACCACAGGTTTTATCTCAAGATCATTTCTTTTGAAAACAAGCTGAAGTGCTTAACATGAAATTGTCACTTCCTCTCTTAGTTCATCTTTTGAAGAGAAGCAGTGAGTTAAAAGCCACACCAGAATTTTGCAAGGGACCAGTAATGCTCTATGACTGGTGCTAATGACGTAGGATCCAACACTCTTTTTAGTACAAGTGTTGCTGCTGCCCTTCAGGATTGAGAAATGGATGCCCACACTACTCTTCCCTCTCAGTGGTGATGCGACAAGACTCGTGTAAAAGAAAGGAAGTAAACAGATACACATAGTTGGAAAAACAGTGAAAGAGGTTACAAATCTGCTTCCAGCCTTCATATATTTTCTGCTGTATATCCCTTTCCAAACAAAGTTGCATAGCCCTGTATCAGTCTTTGCACTTGACACACACCCTCTGCCTGGGCTTTTTTTTGTGAACTGCCCACTGGCACTGCCAGGGAGCCAGGAGCAGGGGCTTCTGGCTGGGCTATACATGGTGGGAATACTGAGACAGTGTTACAAGTGCTTTCCTCACACAATGAAGAAATTAACTGTGCTAAACCATCATTAGAACTGAGTTCCTCCCTGCTTGAATTCCACTACACGCAAACCTCTGGATCAGCATTTGAAACTTCCCCTTGGCTGGAATTGATCTTTGTGTCTCAATGTCTTACTAAAGCACCCCCCGACAGGAACTTTTCCAGTCACCACTGTCAGGACCAGCTGGGCTGCACTGGTGAGCTGCTGTGCACCTAACTTTTCAGCACCTTGTTTTCTGAATTTGGCTTTTGAGTGGATACTGAGGTCTCACTGGACAGCCATAACCCTGTGTTCATGGCATTTCAGGGCAGTGGCTATGGTGAACTGTGGCCCTTTCTCAAAGCTTAGAATGTCCCAGATGTAGATGAGCATCTAAACAG